CCGGGCGTTACCAGCAGACCTTCTCCTCTGACACGCAGTGCCTGTGGTCTGCAGCTCGCAGGGCTGCCAGGTGTAGGCCTGGCCGGCCAAGGGCTCCTGCCTCCACCCTGGTCAATGCCTGCTCTGCTGGAACACGACTGCATCCCAAGGACACTCAGGCTCCCCTCTTTTCCTCACCAGAGGAGTAGCCGCAGCCTCGTCCCCACAGTGACACACTTGCTCTCAGGAGAAGGAACAAGAAGTCACAGGGGAAAGGGTGAAACTGGTGGAAGATGTTCACTCTGGCTACACAGAGACCCAGGTTGTCCATGTGCTTCCTTCACAGGAACACATCATCCACTACTGGCCTTACTGGCAGTGTCTTCATCTTCAAAGTTGAGAAACCCATTCCCAGTTCTTATATATTCATCATATAGCAGCATCGAGCAACATTTGGTTGCCAGTAGACACAGTGTGAGCACTGAGGAGCTGTAGTGTGAGCCGTTATCTCCCTTGGTTTGCAGAGCAGAGCCTCTTGCTCTCCTGACCAGCCCAGCAGCTGAGCAAACACAGCATCATGTTCATAAATTATTGCAGGCAGTGCCTGTGTCCTCCCCGGTGGTGTTTGTCAGGTCATCTGCTCTTTGCTACTGTGGTCTACCAGGGAAATCTCTTTCAGTGCCTCTTTCTGCCTGGTCCTCTTGCTTTACATCCAGTGCAGTGGTGACATATTGGTTATTGCAGCATAGTTCAGCATATAGAAACTAACTAACCTAGAAACTAACCTAGACGGTGTGTGTCGCTTTTTTTTCTAGCAAAAAACATTTTTTAGAACAGGAATTTTGTGAGCATTTTGCAGCCCCGTTTCACTGGAAATCAGCTTTCAATGTATAATTCTATGAAAGTCTGCGGCGTGCCAAGATCAGGCTGCTCCAGAGTGACCATCAGCAGCCTCCTGCTTCTGTGGTCAGGCTGGAAACTTTGCAGGCTTTGAGCCAAGGATCATCCCCTTGCAGCTGTGTGGAGGTCAGAGAGAGCAAAGAGCAGCCTGAGCTCATGAGTAACCCTTTGCATAGATAGTTTGCTCTTTGCAGGACGTTTTCTAATTCTCTGTGCATTCTGGGCTAAAAACGTCAAAAATCTTCTCTGAAAAAGTGCTTCTGCGTCACCTGAGAAATGTCACCATTAGGAATTTTCTTCATTCTGAGATTTCGCTTGTAAAGTAGTAGCCCCCATTTAAAGAGAGGAAGCTACACTCCCAGCCCTAGAAAACTGGCTGTTGCGTTATCTTTAAAGATCCTGTAAAATTCAGGCATGTTTTGTTGTGGCTGAGCAAACGTTTTGAGGGATGACATTTGCAGAGCCTCCTTTTCCTCCCTACCTCCCACATGGAGCTATTCTTTTCCTCTTCTCCATGCTCTTCTCACCTCCTTCAGTCTCCTTCCAGCTGCTCTGGACATGCCTGGCAGGAAACCTCCTCCCCAGTGTCCACAGGAACTGGTGGGTTCAAGAGTTTTGGCTCAGATTATGTTCCCCACAAGGGACATAGTGGCATGTCCCTGTGTCATTGTGCTCAGGCTCTTGCAAACATTTGGATCTTTCTCCACCACCCTCAGAAGAAAAGGGAAGGGTGGCTAAAAGCTAAAAGCGCATGTTTGTATTTTTGCTGTACTAGTAATATTGATCATTCTGTTAATGTAAATGTCTCAGGTGTTGTATGTTGCTTTTCTTGCTTATTAATCACAATAATGCAAAATGAGGTGAAAGCAGTTTTGTGGGGAGAGCGATGAGATGCAGCCAGCAGTAACCAAATTCCACCTGGCTGGAGCACAGTAGTGTTGTCTGTCATCCTGCAGACATGAGAGTCTCCACAGTGACTGGGAACAAAACCTTGAAACATTTTATTTTGACTTTTTGTACATAAAATGGTTGGGTTTTTCATCTCTAAGCAGTGTTTTTAGGGAAGACTTGCCTAAATCTGTTTGTTTTGCTCTGTTTTTTTTTTTTTTTTTTTTTTTTTTTTTTAAAAAGGCAGCCAAATGTTTTGTTGTATCTGCTGACACATTTCAGTCAACTGCAAATGTCTTTTTTGGACATGCAAGTTTTTGTTTTGCCTAGGAAACAAAATGCAATGAAACAACTTTATTTTGGGGACTACTAGAAGTCATTTGCACCCCCTGCAGCCGGGCAGATCTCCTGTGGTTGACAGTGTTTGCAATCTCAGCAGAGCAGCCCAGCCCTCCGTGCTGAGAAGCTCCTTTGAAGCCCCCTTGGTCTCACCAGCCTGCGGAGCAGCCACGCTGCTCTACCATTTAGCAAAGCACTGAAATGCCTGCATAATATCTAGGATGTGAATCCTCCCACTCTGCCAATTTCCACGTTGGAAATTGAGCTGGGGCTTAAGTGCCTTGGTGGTTTGAGGCTTCAGCAGTAGAAAATAGCACAGATAGCAAAAGCAATCAATTAAAAAGCTCTCAATGAATCAAAAATATTGGAATCTCCAAATTAGGAAGGCCATAAGATGAAAAGCAGATTAGAGAAGGTGGCAAATCCCCTTTCTTTGACATTCTTCACCACTTGGTACCCATTATTCTGGACCGCTTTCTTGGTAAAGCCAAAAAGAAGGAAGCTACTTATGCTCGTGTTCGTTTCTGTTACAACAGGGAAAACAATACAATATTACAAATGATAGGGAAAATTCCAATTTTTTTAACATAGTTTCCATGTCCAGCATTAAAAGAAGTAATTGAGATATCTGGAGAAAAAAAAATCTCTATTTAATTGACTGTAGTTACCCCCTACTTGGCAATATGGCAATACCCTTTTGCTTTCTGATATGGTTGATAGATTTTGTTACGCAGCCTGGTGCTGCTTAAGAACATAATGCAAATACTAAATGTGAGTAATCCCTGAAAATGACTCTGCTGATGCCAAGTGGCCCATATGCTGTCATAAACACTTCTTCTTTTTTTTGTCATTCTTATTACAAAAACCCTTTGTGGTCAGAAGTTCACATCAGGCTTATTCATTACCTGCTGTGCTGGGTCCTTAGGTCTGGGTCTTAGTGTGCCATCCCCACACTGAGCTTTGGACTAGATCCCTGTTTGCTGTCTGTTACTCCACATCATTTGTTAGGGCTATATACCAATCCTTCCTTGTGTGCGTACTGGTACATTTTGCCATAGAGATCTACATTATATTTAAATTATTTAAAACTGGCTCATCTTGGCGGGCTAGGACTGCTAATATTAAGCTTTATATATAATAAAGAGAAAATCCCAAAAGAAAAAGAAAGAAAGAAACTGGATGACAGTTTATTGCTTTCTGAATGCATTTTAAAATTAAGGAGAATGACAGAAGTCCTAGTGAAATTTTGCAGTGCCTACACAAACTTCAATCTATACTCTTTTTTTTCTGGAAAATCCCTATTTGTCCAAAAAATTTCAAGCCCAAGGGGTACCAAAGACCATCTTTAAGCTTGCCTTGTGATTTTGAGCAATACATCATGAGAGCAGTGATGTTCAAATGATACATTGCACTAATATATCACAAGAGCACTATCACTCTCATGATATATTAGTATAAAACACTATCCGAACACTATCACTGATGTATTACTCAAAAACATAGATTTAACCCTCAAGAAGCATCCCATCTGTAGGCTGAATGAACAGAAAGCTGTAGATAACGATGAGAACAAGCAACAGCATGCTTGGTTTCTCTAGGGCAAACTATGAAAGAAAAAAAGAGTGGTATTCAGAGTATTTCATTAGCTGAAGCATCCATCTGATTTCATTTTATTCACTGAGCAACTGTTTTTATGGATTGAAGCTAACACAATATAGGTGTATTTGAAATATCTTACAGATAGCCTAAGAAAACCTTTTTTTTTTTTTGATTTTTGGATTTCATTATAGACTTGAGCCGTGTTTTGAGAATGCTTCAATGAGGTGCATGAATTTCAGCTGATTTCCAACTCATCAAATTGAGTCAGGTGCAAGCTATCTACATTCCCTGTATAAGCTGTTAGTGCTTTCTGCTGCAGTCTTTTTTTTAAAGGATTTAGGCACTATCTATAAAGATCTGGGGAGGCATAAATGCAGTATGTCACTCAGATCATTTGCTGTCTCCCCTCAATGAGATTTTTCTTTTCTCCTGAAGAATTATTGCCAGTATTTTTTTTTTTCCTCCAAAGGGAGTGAAGGAGAAAGCAGGAAAGGTAAAAGCAGCTTTGCCATTTCATAGCTGAGCTTTTTGCAGAAAACCTTTGGCGTTCCCTTGTGTCCCTGGGGACATGAGAGGTGCCCAACATGAGGGTGTTGGGATCCCTCTGTGCATTTCCCCAGGACCTGACGTGTCCCATGGTACCTTGTGTGTCTTCTCCCCTGGAGCCCAATTTTCCCTGAGGTGTCTGTGCCTGGACCACTGCACAATGGGGACTTCACTCCCTTATATTCATGTTAGAGCTGCTAGAAGGAAAAGCAAAGTATTTTAGTGTCTTCCTCACCTTGCAAGAGGCATTTTGTCAGACGGGCTGCGTTTCCCCTCTCCCAGTGTCCTTACCATCTGTGGCACCTCCATTACCTGATGGTGCTTCCTGCATCCCGTGGTCTCCACTGTGCGGAGCCCCAAGCGTGTGACCCCGCGCGGCCGCCTGCCTTCATGGGGCAGCTCCTCAGTCTTGTCACTTTTGAAGTCACAACACGCAGCTCCAGGGTACGTTGTCATTTCAAAGCTGTGGCTAAATATGTCTCCGACTGACAACTATGAATAATTCCACAGAGCCCCTCCACTTCAGGCATTTCGCTCCGAAGCTCATATATGCAGCAGAGCTGCTCTCTCATGTTTTTCATCTTTTATATTCTCAGAAGAGTTATGGAACAGGTTAATGTATTTTTCTCTGAAAATAATGTTGTGGGAGCCTGGATGTCGTTACTGGTATGTGTGGAGAATAATGCTGACGGTCTAGAAAAGGAAGTAATGATCTTGATAATCACCACTGTGTTGTTTCACATTTTCAGCATGTTCATGTCCACATCCTTCCAAGGAGGGCTGGAGACTTCAGCAGGAATGATAATGTCTACGAGGAGGTAAGGACTACACTCTATTTCTTGGTGTTGTGGCCTTCAGAAAATCACGTTAATGATACAGGCCCTGCCTCAAGTGCAGTTATATTAAGTAATCCCTGCCTCTTTGGTGGTTGCAAAGAGGGGGTGATAGGCACCAAGCAGTGTACCGTGGTTTGCCCACAAGCTGTGGGTCAAGGTATGGTCCTGCAGGGTCTCAAGGAAGGAGCTGTGGGTCAAAGTCCTGCAGTGTCCCAAGGAAGGGTGTTATTCGACCGCGTTGGGCCTTTCACTGTGGCCGCTGCACACAGGCTGAGGCAGCATCTCTACCGAGAGCTGTTTCTGTTGCAAGCGCTGGAAGGATGGAGAATAAAACCTTGTCGAAGGCCTTGGCTTGGTGTATCCTGCCCTGGCTGGCAACCTGGGCAGCAAACCTCCCCTTCCAGCAAGGAGGGTCACAGGAGGCTCATAACAAATACATCACAAATCACATTGTAACTCTGAAGATAGAAATTGAAGAGCAGCAATGCATCTAGATGTGATGTATGTATGGGGATGCATGCATGTGTGCAGGCTGTGCTGCGGAGCTGGAGAAATTAGCTGCTCCAGCTTGACTAAATAACTGGCTATTGTTTACGTGCGCAATTGTATTGGCATTAACAAGAAGTTGTCCCCAGCTTGACAGCTATCACAGTGAGTGAATGAAAAAATCTTGCTATAGTTAGATTTATCGATGGTTTCTAGTGGATTTGGTAGGATACTCTATCTCAAATATGACATTTTCCTTTCTTTCTGAAAGTAATTAATACAAACTTCCTCAATACCACTGAAATACCATCTGTTGGAGGAAAAATTCATGGCATTTTTTACCTCTGATTTTTTTTTTTTTTCTGTTGTGATATGTGCAGGAAGACAGCTCTACACTTTCTAAAAGAATGGTAACATACTTTAAAGGTCTTTCTCACTTTTTTTTTTTCTTCTTTCATCGATAAGTGATGAAGTTTATTATTGACCAGTTACATGAAGGGTAGAGACTGAGAACCCCACTAATAAGGACCTAACCTTATAATGAGATTGCTGAGCAAAGAAATAAAACCTAAAGTATGTGATGGCAGTCTTGTGTGCAGCTGTCATTGGCAATAGCTGAAGGGAGGCTGCTTGAAAGTTAACATGACTTTCCTTTTCAAATGTGCTAAGTGGTTTTAGAAGCTCTGCCAGACAAAAATTCTGTTTCCTTTTTCCTCTTGTGTTTTCTGGTTTTAGCACACTTCTTTTTCTCCTGTTATATATAAATACAAACAGATAAAACTATTTAATGACTGTACATGAATTTTGTTCAATGCAGGTGGGACAAATGGCTAGAAAATGTTATTATCTTGTCTGAGGGGGAGTGGGGCTAGAAAGGACATGCAAAAGGAAATGTAGCGCTATATCCAGACTGGTACCAGAATCATATTTGCTGTTGAGCAAGTTGTAGGCCTGGTGATCTCCAGCTAGGCTAGGGTTGGGGATAACAGTGAAAGAAAGGCTAGAGTCCCATCAGGAGTCCCGTCAGGAAGCTTCACTGCGTATGAGGAAGAACATCTTTACTATGAGAATGACAGAACAGACTGCCCAGAGAGGTTGTGGAGTCTCTTCCTCTGGAGGCTTTCAAGATCAACTTGAATGAGATCCTGTGCCACATGTTCTAGGTGTCCCTGCTTGAGCAGGAGGTTGGACTAGATTATCTTTAGAGGTCCCTTCCAGCCTTAACCATTCTGTGGTTCTCTGATTCTGTCATTTTTAATTATAACAATCATAGGTGTTGCTTGCAGCAGACATGGTTAAACAAAGATGTTTGGAGATTGCTTGGGAGTTATGTCAGTAAGGCAAGATGGTTTGATATAATGCATCTTTGCATTGTACCAACAGGACATATGCTTTTGCTCAGGAGATTTTTCAGAAATTTAGGAAGATCTGTGGATCATGGCAGGAAAACAGACTGCAGATCTAGAAGGGACAGACTACCATTAGGTGAGATGTAGATCTTGGAGAGAGCTTTAATTCCATAATCCGTGAAATGTGTACTCAGGATAATCCATAACGTGTTTATAAATGAGGCTTGGCTTCCATGTACTTGATTGAAAGAAGGAGTTGCCCTTTGGGTAGAACAGACTTGCATGCAAAGTCATCCTCGTGTAAGACGTGGCATGGAAGCTTATCAGCCTCCCTCAAAAAACTTGTTGAATGACAAACTGCCCCAGGACTAAGTTTTGCTTATGGCTGGGGTTTGGCTACCGCAAGTAAAAGGTAGCACAACTATTTGGCATAACCTTCACAGATCTGAGTCACAGCTCTAGTTCAAGCATCTATCACAAAACTCCTGTCTGTAAGTAGCTTTGCACTCTCCCAACTCCAAATATGTCATTTGTTTATGCTCAGCTCACTGTTGACAAATCCCATTGCTCAGGGAGCGTTTGACAGTGAAGGGAATGCCCAGATGCTGAGACATCAGTCCTCTTGAAAGATTTCTAGAGTTGAGACAGCTGGAAAGTACTTGCAGTCTCTTACTGTGTGCTTTATTTCTCCCATTTGGTTTGGGAGTGACCTCCCTTCTGATTGAAAAGACAGAACAAACTGGAGCAGGTTTATCCCTGTTCAGTGAAATCTGTTTACTGGGCCCTGGTGCCTATAGGCGTCTGGCTGTGAAGCGCTGGGAAAGCCTCTTCTGAAACTACTTTTAAGTGTAAAGAGTATACTTAAGGGTAAGGTAGATCTTTACCACTTGCTTTTTAATAAGATTGCTGATGGGCCTAATACCTGCTAGGTTCCAGGTTTATATTTAGGACTTCTGTACAGAAATATGAATTGGAGAAGTGAAAGAGGGGCAGACACCTGTGCTAGAGTACAGACGTTCCTTACAGTTTATGCCACTTGATCTTTTAGTTTTCTGCATTTCGTTGCATATGAAAGAAGTCACTACATGATTTTTCTAAGATATGGAGGGAATGATTAATAATAGAAGAATCTGCTTTGAACATTTTGGCTTAGGGTATGTCTTTCCTCTGCATCTTCGCAGGGATAATTTTGGGGCGGGTATTTCCCAGGGACCGTCTACCCTATGGGCTCACCACAGTGAAAGCTAAAGGCCACAGTTTTTCAGTTCTTACATTTTCTTCAAATTGTTTGAAGCCTAATCCTGCAAGCATGTACATGTCAGAGTTAAATAGATCTTACAATTGTTTACAGGATCAGGTCCTTCATGTTTTACTCTAGCCAAATTACTTATGTACATCTTGCGATATTCTTTTTCATCAATTCTCTCTCTCTGTTGGAGACCAAAACTGTAGCAGTTAAATATTAGGAACACTTTTAATTGGAGTGCCTACTTCTCTACATATGTTTTTTATTTGGTTTTGAAGTAGAATAATATGTTTATTAATCAAGGATTTGAAGGGCGCTGTCGAGACATTGCCCGCCTTGAAGGAGAAGATGAGTTCTTCACTATTGTAGGGGCATGTCACAGTAACTGGTAAGAATTTGGTATGAAAGGATATTGTTTATGGTAGAGCTGCACCCACGTTGTTGCATTCAGCACAAACACTGCCGAGTTGTTGGAGGTCATCATGCCCAAGACGTTCAAGAACATTATCCTGAAATGTCTCAGCAGTTTCATACACTCAGCCATCTGTGGGCAGTCCTCTCATTCAGAGTGTGTTTGAAAAGTCCATAGCACAGCTTGTCCCCGGTCTCCACTGAGCAGTTAGCCATTTCTGCAATATAAATAACATTCATCATCCTTTAGGTTGGCAGGTAATAGCTGTACTGGGCCAGAGAGTGTGAGGCTTTCTCACAAAAGAAGTCTGCAATGCTGCTATTCTCGGTATCGATCTCAATAATGTTAATTTTGAGGCTGATGAACTCGGGTGGGTGAGGGCAGCTCACAATGTCCATGAGACCCCTGAGCATCCATGGCACTCAATGATGAGTTTTGTGGGGCAGACCCTGTTCCTGTTGGCCTGAGCTTCCCACCTGCTGCCGTGGATGCAGCTGCAGCAGTGCAGCACGTCCAGGTGATGTGGTCGGGGCAAGGAGTGCCCAGTCCTCCAGACAGCCCTGCTTTTGTGCCCACTCGTTTTCTTGCCTGTCTTTAGCTCTCAACCTAAACTGGTGTGAAATAAAAGAACTGTAGGAGGAGAAAGCACAAAAAAAGAGAGGCTGACCAAAACCCGGGTGCCTCTGGCCCGCTGCCACCTGCCAGGATAGGCAGAGCTGCCTGCCCCGTGGCCTCTTGTAATGAGCCTGTGAGAGACATCCTAATGGGAATTCTTTGGGAGCTTAAGGATTCTGCAAAATGCAGGAACTAGCGAAAGAATTCAGTTCATGCTGTCCTCCTTCCCCTCTGGCACTCAGACACGCAGCAAGAGAATCACTTAGGGAAAGATATTTTGACTTAGTGATCTCATTCGGCACATTACGTTAAATCATTTCAGCAAGAATACCTATTAGTAATCATTTCCAATTCCAGGGAGGATGAAGGAGGCGTTTTGGCACATGACTCTAAAACCTGCTGGGCTGCTTTTTGAGGCTAGCAAACCTGGAAAACGGTGGTGAATGCAGAAGTTTAGGGAAACAAGCTTGAAGTTTAATATTGCATGTCCCTGGCTGCAGTCTGCCTGCTCCCTGACCTGCCCACAGCCTCGTGCACTGCTAGACCCGCAGCCTGGTGAGGGCTTGAGATGTGCACAGCTGCACCCAGCAGCGTGGGCTGCCTCCTGCTTGAAGATATGGTACATAATGAAAAGATAAATAAGCCCTAATCCATATCCTGCTAGACGGAATGGAAAGATGCCCAGCAGCTTCTGTGAGCACTGGATTGAGCTATTCATGAAAATTAACGGCATGCAGAGCTAATAGGCTGTTTCTTGGCCTCAGAATTATATTGCACCTTCTGGGAACATATTGTAGCCTGCTGGTAGATCAGTCTGCTGCATCGGAGCTCCGTTGGGGCCAGACTCTGCTTTCTTTTGAACCTTGCATGGGTG